GTCTTCCTCCGGAAAACATACCCAGCGAATGCAAGACACAGGCTCACCATTCTTGCTTCTAAAGTGCATTGTGGCTGTGCTGCCTCTGGGACAAATCCGTTTGTCCTTCTGGCAGTCCGCAGAATAACCAGTGTTCTCTCAGCAGCATGTATCCGGGACTTCAGTTCCATTTCAGCCTACCTGAGTCGTTCACTGGCCAGCCTTCACGTGCCTGTGAGATGGCTGATAAAAGCGCGGCTCGAGTCCTGGTCACCTTAATCCTCAGAGGGGCATCGTTGTGGCGTTGTAAAGAGCTCTTTTGCAGCAGATTGGCCCAATATAATATGTTGCTTGATTTCTTGGCTGCTACTTCTGTGAACATATAGTGTACCTTTCTGTGCATAAAATAATCACAGGTCTACCAAAAACCTCTTTAACATAATACAGTAATGTTAACAATACTATTTGATGTTCATTGCAAAGTAGCCCTCGTTTGTTATAACCAACTGCTGTCTATACCTTACATTTTTAATACAACAGCCTCCACTTTAAACACTGGGTTGTACAGAAGTCAGGTAAATGCACCTCGGGGCTACCTGGAATTGATTTCTCAGCCAAAGACAGCCAGAGCCTCTGGTTACTTAACCAAGAACACAGAAATGAGCTAGCAGATAGGCCAGGCCAAACCCAAATCCCCAGTCACACCCCTGTCACCTCCTCATTCTGTTGCCCCACTAGGCAGAAGCCTGGGAGACTGGGTGGTGACAACACGGTCTTTGATCCCTGCCGGCTTCAGCGTCTTCATCTCTGAGGGGATTGGAGGAAGGGCACCAGGTGCCAGGGCCTGCCCCCAGGCCACCCTGCCCCTCTGACAGAACCCCTTTGCAGCTTCCTTACCAGGGCAGGGGGCTCCACGGTCCCCAGAAAGTGCCCCCTCAGGCCCCTGTGAATGAATTTGTTTGAAACTGCAGTGTGGTTCTCAAGGCGTGTATCTCCGTTACAAGGAGGACCCTAGCGTGAGGCTATTTATAGCTGCTCAGGCCAGGCTCCAGCCGAGCATCATCGCACTGAATGTCTGCCGCATGGGGCTTCTGCAGGCTCCTCTTTGGAACGACCTTGACACTTCTCTGTGCAGAATGTATGTCAGGGACCAAGACCAGAGACCGCCCAAGCCCGCAGCCATCGCACTGCTCCAGACGCGCAGTGACCCTCGGGAACAGGGTAGAGCTGCACCGTGGTACTTCCCAGGCTGAGTCTCCATGGAAACGAACTGTCACCGCTCTCTTCCACAGAGCTGCTGGCGGGTCCAAGCCATTGATCTTTGGCTCAGGAAAGAAGAGGTTTTCTTTATTTCTTGATTTTTTAAAATCATTTTATTGGGGGCCCTTACAACTCATAACATTAAATACAACAATTGTATCGAGCATCTTTGTATAGATGTGGCCATCATCATTTTCTAAACATTTACTTTCTATTTGAGCCCTTGGTATCAGCCCCTCTTTTTTGCTCCCTCCTTCCTCTCCCACCCTCGTGACCCCTTGGTAAATTATAATTATTTTCACATCTTACACTGACTGCTGACTCCCTTCACCCATTTCTGTTGTTGATCCCCCTTGGGGGAGGGGGGACTATGTGTTAATCATTGAAATCAGTTCCTCCTACTGCCCCCCCCCTACTCTCCTACCCTACTGAGGGGTTTATCTGACCTGGATTCAGTGTGTCATGAGCTCCTTTTTTTAATTATTTAAATCATTTTATAGGGGAATCTTACAGTTCTTACCACAATCCATACATCCGTGTGGCAAGCACGTTTTTACATACTGGTATGTTGCCGTCTTCATATATTGGCCATCTAGCTGAGAAACAACAAAGCCCACATGGAGGAAGCATACCAGCCGGTGTGATCATGAGTGTCGATGGGATTAGGTATCAGACATCAAAGTCCC